CATTATTCTGCAGTACAAAACTAAGCCTTTGCAGTTTGATGTTTATAGCCAGGCTGCCTTAAGGGTTGGTGTGCTGCCAGGAAGGAATTTTTCAGCCCTGCTCCGAGCTGTGTATCCCTGTTGTCTCTCCTTCCCCTTTCACCCTGGCAGCTGCACTACTCAGTCTTCATGGTAGGATGGCTCAGGGAGATAAAGCAGCAGATTTACCCCATGGAAAGGTAATTAATTTTCTGCTACATTTTACCTTTAGTTCTTGAGTGGAGTCCCTCGTGCTCCAAGAGCCAAGCGGTGTGCCATGGAAGATCAGATTAGCACAGCCAAGGCAAAGAGGGAGGGAAATGACATCTGGCAAATGCTCACTTTTAAAACTGACTAGATGGCAACATGGAGTGGTGCCATCATCGATTTGCACTTCAAATCTGTACATGTATAAATTGGCAAAGAATTTCAATACTCTCAGACGTATTAACTCTGCCAGCAGCCTTGGTAACCATGAGTTAACTGTCAGCCACGTTGGTGGCTTTGCAATCCGCGCACTGACTAGAGGTTGTCACTGTCTTCTCTTACACAATTTATTCTGAATGAAGTTTTGCCTCAGTGCCACAAATAAATGATTGTTGGGTTGAAAAAAAAAACACCAACAAACTACCCAAAAGCAGAGAAGCCCAAAGTGAGCTCAGGGCTCAATGAAGGGCAGAGGAAAGGCCATCCTTAAGGAGCTGTGGAGAGTTTGGATGCTGTCCTTGGACACAGGCCACACACAATCTATTAAAATCTGTCTCTCATGTCAGTAACTCACATGGGCTGAGCATATTTGTGGGTGAGAATGCTATAAAGCCTTTTTGTGCTCTTGCGATTCAAGTATTTAATAAGAGAAAAATGATACTATAAATAGGAACACCATAGTTGGTAAGGACTGGGGATACAAAAGGAGATATGCAGTCTCAGTTATGACAGGAGAGCAAAGAAAAAGCAAAGAAAATATCAACTGAAACCAGCAACTTGTGCAGAAGTGCTTAATCAAACATGAACTTTGTATACAACCCATCGGCAGCAAATTTGCTCTCGCAAAGTGAACAGCTTGCGAGCGGGAGAGTGCCTTTTTTGGTCACGTTTTGCAAAGGGCTGAAAATATGTGCTTAGTAGGTGTTGTGGCTTTTTCAAGTATTGTGAGCCTTTCTGTGCATTAAAAGCATTTTTGCCAGTGTTTATATATTGTTCCTATCTTCCATCATGTGGAAACCTTCCTCCTTCCAATCCTGTCTTCTCCTGAACACACTGTAACAGTACCAATCAAGGCTTTCTTAGGTGCATGGCACCTCTATCCAAGAAAAAAGCATAATAAACAGGAGCTGGGAGAATGGGTCAGTTCATTAAATCCAGCCAGGTGATGCTGTACTCTGATACAGACTGATAACAGATTCAAAAGTGAGCCTTGTCTGGAGTGGTTTTGTTCAGACTTGTGTGAAAGATAAAGTACTAAAATAAGAGGAATCCCTTTAATTTGCACTTGTGACAGGCAACTTCCACTTTATCACTGAAAAAATATGAACTATGTCTGTTTTGAGATATTAAAACCAGGTAATCAAGTGTTGTTTTGTTTTTTTTTTCCCACAATATTGAAATTCTGGCTACAATTCATTTTAGACAGGAGGTGGCACAGACTAATAGATGGCCAGAATTTCTTTTTAACTGAAAGTCCTAAAGAAATTCTCTATATCAGGGCTTTAAACATATTCTCAGTTAGAAGCATTTTATATAGTTTCATAAGAATAATTGTAAGCTCGCTGGTCTGTATTTGTGCACATTTTTAATGAAGTCCCTTGGGTCTAAGTTATTAGATTTTAGTTGCAATTGCACAAATATCAGCCAACTCTCCTTGGCCTATTTTTTGCCCATTTAGTGATAAGTATAGGCTAAACCAAACATATACTTGCCATATGTGGGTACAAAGGTGCTGACACCACATTGTTATACTGGTGGTAAAGAACAATTAAATATGCAAACTAATACAGCTCTCCTTCCTTTAAAAGAACATCTAAACTCTCATGCAAAAACCCCAGCTATTTTTGGCACCCAAATCAGGTTATCTTGTTTGTCAGCCTAAGCTTTTGGGATTGTTTTTTTAAAGGAAAAAAAAACCAAACCTATGAACAAAACAGCTTGTGTTTTCTTTGGTTTTCTAACATTTACATGTTTATAAAAATCCAAATAAGCATGCACAACACCTCTTTGTTGCAGATAAAAGTGTAAATAAATGCAGCAGTGTGGTTTTCTGCTGAGAAGGAGTTAGGCATACCAGGTTGCTTTTCCCCTTGAGAAAGAGCAAGTGATTTAGAATCTCTGCACATTGTTTTTACACATTGACCCTTCTCCTGGAGCAGAGGTGGCCAAAAACAGCATGCAGAGGGATGACTGCATGCATATGTGCTCAGCTGAAGGATTTGCACAATTCAAGGTTAGAGAACTTGGATTAACTGCTGAACAAAAGGGGTGAAACAGAATAAAATACAATTATTTTTCTATGCTAATCTTCCAGCCACTCATTACCTCAAGGCAATGAATGATAATTGCTGCTAAAGAACAGTTATGTAGAATATTTTTCCTCAGAAAGAAAAACCAAATAAACTTACTAAAAATTCAGATGTTATTTGTGTCTATGTGGGGAAACTTCTTTCCTGAGTTTTTGCTTTCTACATATGGATGTACATAAACAAGAAAAATAATTACCATTATATTTTTATAGTGGAAAAAAAAAAGACAAACTAATCATAAAAGACATGACTGAGCACACAAAAAATGAACTTCAATTGACATATTCAAGCTCTAATTTATAAGAGAGTAGAAATACTCTTTCAATACAGATTCACAATTTATGGTTTTAGAAACTGTAATGTTTCAAAAATGATCACTACTACTCTTAGAGAAGGATGGTGTACTTGAAAAAATGCTCTTATTTATACACTCTTTACAAAGTGAAAATCCAGAAGGCAATATGAAGGGCCACTGTTACATGATTAAGTGACTTCCACTCCCTTCTCTGTGTGAGAGAGAACAGGCAATCCCTGACAGATGCCTGAAAATCTACCAGGTAGATGGACTGAATCATGGTGGATCGATCGCCAAGCGCTGGTCCTACAGCATGCCTCCAAACAGAAGGATAAATTGCTCCAAAGCCACAAAGGTGTCAGAAATTCAAAGACAACATCTTTCAATAATAATATGCCACCCAGCAATCATTAACATGAATACTATATTTAGGTTTTTCAGTAAATTCCTTAATAACGATGATGGTCACAAAAAGTAATTCCATTTAAATAATCTAATATGTGTCAAAAAATAACTACTTCAAACCCTCTACTAGATGGTGAAGTATGCATTTTTCACACCAAATGTCTAAAAAGAAGATATATTTTTGGTTATAACCACCTGAAGAACATCTGGAAGCAGTCCAGGCTCCAGTATCATTATAATTTCAAGACTGTTGAACATGTCTATTGAGTTACTTGAAAGAAAGTCAAGCAATAAACCACACTTTTCACTTTAAATTAAGGTTGTGTTTTGTCATGGACAACACCTTAAAATTCTAGAAAATAATTTTGAAATGTTGTCTTCAAAAACAAATATGAAATTTTTTGGACAAGTGAAAGTTCTTTAAACATCAGAGCTCTTCCTCTTGCATAGAAAGCTAATTCCTTCACAAAAAAAAAAAAAAAAAAAAAAAAAAAAAAAAAAAAAAGGCAGTTCCTGTAAGATTTTCACTATTCATATAAGAAAATCCATAGGGGTAAGCTAATTCTGGAAGGAACCTTATTAGCTATTATGAAAAATGAAATAAATCAACCATGCAATCTGGACCAAGCTTGAAAGTACTTCTTGAAATTGACCTGGCTTTTGTGCTGGCTTTGGTTTGCTGGCTTCTTTTCTTGAAAGTGACTTTTATTACTTTTAGTAATGGTTGTGATTTTAAGTGTATGACATTAGGCCAGTCAGTTTCTAGACTTAGTTTTCACTGCTTATAATCAGCTGATAAGACATTTCACAAACCATCACAAAGTGATTCTGAAAACATAAGTTTCCCCCTCGCTGCTTGGGACACAGCTAGGTCCCATCCAGTGAAAGAAAGGTATCTTGGGCTTCTCAGGATCAAAGAGTTTGGTCTCTATCCAAAATGATCTGTCATTCACAAGAAATGAAAGATCATCTCAGGAGTGGAGGGTGATTTTGCCGGATCAGGTTTCAAACAGGTGTTTCAAGCGCCTCCTGTGGGGTGCCTGATAGCACGATTGAGATTGTGCAGACACAGGTTTTACAAAATTCGACAGTGGGCTTCACCTTACTCATCTCTTGTTGATATGTGCACAGGAACCTCCAAGCACAGGCAAAAACCCTATCAACACCACAGACCTATGGAACTTTCTCTATCCAAGTGCCGTTTTGCTCATTAAAACCGCAGGTCTCAGCCGGTGCGCGCTGAGGCAGGGGATGCCATGCGGCCAGGGTCGAGACAGCCGGCAGGGCTGAGGGGAAAAGCAGGGCCTGACCGCACCCTGCACCCCGGCCCACAGGGCCTGACCGCCCCCCGCACCCCGGCCCACAGCCCCAACTTTGCTGCTCGGCCGCGTTCGGGCTGGGCCGGATGGCGCTGGGCGCGGATCCCGGCGTGGATGGCGATGGCGGTGCCGGTGCCGCCCCCGCCCGGCGCTGCCGGAGGGAGATGCTCGCTGTCACTTTCCCTCTTCCCCACGCACCGCCCCCTGCCCTCCCCCGCGCCCGCCGCCGGCGCTGCCCCGTCCCCGGCGCCGAGCGCTCCCCGCCGGCAGCAGGCAGGGCAGGGCAGGGCGGAGCGGAGCGGAGCAGAACAGAACAGAGCGGAGCCGGGCTGGGTAGGGCAGGGCCGCCCGCCCGCTCCTCGGCATGGCCGGGCGCTGAGCGGCGCCCGCCGCCCCGGCTCGGCTCGGCTCGGCTCGGCTCGGCTCGGCTCGGCTTAGCACGGCTCTGTCCCGCCGAGAGGCTCGGCGCCCAGCCACCCGCTCCCCTCGCCAATGGTCCAGAGCGACATGTCGAAATCGCCTCCCAGCCCGGCGCAGGAGGTGCAGATGGAGCTGCTGGACAACCCCCTGCCCACGGCGGCGGCGGCAGCGCAGGTACCGCGGGCTCGGCCGGCCGGGGCTGCGGCGGCGGCGGGGCGGGGGCGCGGGGCAGCGCGGCGGGGCCCCGGAGCTGCCCGTCCTTCAACTTTGGCCACCGCCGTCTGAAAAGTTTGACAGCTCCCCTAAGACGCCCGAAACCCCCCTGTCTTCGCCCCCACCCTCAAATGCCATTTAATTAACATAGATGGGATGCTCTGTGCCGTAGAAGCATCGTAAGTCAAAAGAACCTTGCGATTATTTGGAGGATGAATATGTAAGAATACGTTGCTATCAAGCTGATCTGCCGCACATGTATTACTCGCAGGGTACGGCTATTTTTCCCTGCTCCAGTAACCTGTTGTATCGTACCTGATGCTTCCCACGCCCGGCTGAAACCTCCCTCGTCTGTTCCAGGGGCTGGTGACAGTCTGTAGGTGAGGGAAGGCGATTCACGCCAGTTGTTCAGCAGGAATTTTGGGGAGGCTGAAGGTGTTGAACATGCTGCAGATTTAAGCGGCTCGATTTTCATGCAGAAGGTGGTTGTACAGTCGTCTCAGAAATTTTAAGAACTCAGTTCATGTGAAGTGTTCGGGTGGATGGGTGATGAGAAGAAGGCAGGCTAAGGCATACTTAGAAAAGACTTCATATTTTGAAAGGTTGTTTCTGTTTGATGTATGAATGTTGCTTAGGATCTTCAAGTTTGCAATAGTTGGCTACAAAGACTTCAGAGTGCTGTTTTTGAACCCAGTAAAAGGGTGGTAAAATCTGATTGTGTGCATTTCAGATTACAAACGTGCATGATCTTGTTAGGACGGAGGTTTTTTTCCTTTTGGGGTGCAGTTTTTACTGTTGCTGCCAAAGCTGTCTCTGATGCTTTGAGAAGGTAGACCAGCTCCATCCCAGAAGTGCTTGATTGACAGAGAAAAATGCTGTCAGTCTGTCAACAGTCTTGGTGATTGATCTTTACTAACTCAGGCCCGGTGACAGCAGAGCAAAATCCATGCACTGAAGCAGAGACTAGGTTAAACTAAAAAAGAGAAAGTGTCTCTTTGGATGTCAGTAGCCTCCAAGCACAGAACAGACGTTTCAGTAAGGCCATATGCTTTGCCAGCTTCTCCAGAAACAGTGGCAATGGAGCTAATTTCTGACCTACAAATCCTCCCCTTTTTGCATCTTTTCAGCCCTAAGCATAGATTCAGCAACTGTCAAATCATGTGGTACCTCTCTGCTGTGGACAAATGTCAAATACTGATCATAAAATTGATTTCTCAACCCTCCTTTTCACTAGGGTTAAAGAAGCTCTGTTTAGAGAGGAAGAATAGTTTGCTAACACCCACATTATTTATGTTTCAGGTAATGCATTTATGTTCTGTTTCATAAAACAGGTTTCTGAACATTCACAGCCAAAAAGATTCACTTTTTAAGACAGTGATAATGTACCTTTTTGGTTCAGGGTTGTTTTTCAGTTTTTGGAATCAAAGTCATTAGGCAGAACAAGAATCATCTTCTCTATATACTTGTTTTAGTCATTCCTTAGTAGAGAGGAAATATGGTTATGGAAACAAAAGAGCCCTTTGTCTGAATAATACTGCAGGTTAATTCATTAGCAAGCACTGCATTTAGAGACAATTATTTTGATTTGAATTTCTGTTCCATAAACATTTAAAAAAGCCCAATATTGTAAAATTATGCTGCTTTAGAACACACTCCCAGTGAGAAGGAGAGGCTTAATGAGGCCATGGGAATCATCAAGTAGTTTGCCTACAGGTACTTCAGTTATTTGTACCACTGTCTTTTTCTCTAAAGTAGTTGAATATCAATCCTAGAAACATTTCTGCCAAATAATCTGTCAGGAAAAAAAAAGCCCAAACCAATATGTGAGCTTATGGTGTGATGTCACTCCTAAAAGTGCTCACTCTGAAGTGCTTCTTCTGGGAATTATGATTTAAGGAAATATTGCTGAAGAGCCTTCGTAGAGTTGTGCCAAGTCACAACAATTCTCTTGTCCAAGAATTTTACTTTTGCAAAGCTGAGATTTCTTTTAAACTGTCTTAACATCATGGTCAATATTTTGGATAGTGCCTGTCCATCCATTTTGGCCAAACTTGTCACCATGGGGCAGAGGAGTGAAATGTAGTTAACACTCTAGAAATAGTTCACTTAAAAGGCAGTTAAATATGTGAAACATTCCTAGATAACATCTGTGTAAAATCTATTTCTTATTTTCATAATGCATTTTCCTAACAAGATCTGCAAGCAAAAAAAATTCTCTTTGAGTGTTGATCATGACAGTTATATTGTATTTTTCCAGGGAAGTTCTTTGCAAATGGGACAAGATATTGGTGGGTTTTTTTTCTGTATTACTGAAAATTCTGTGGCTTTGAGGTCCATATGACTGTAAAAATATAGTTCTAGTTCTAGTTCAATGTGATCTTAGTCTCAGATGGGTCTTGGTCTTAGATAGAGTTGCAGTAGAGCTTTGGATGTCCAGTTTTATCCAGACAAGTCTGCATGCTGACAGATACACTGTGGACTTATTCACAACGTCCAGGTACATGTCAGTGCAAAGTGGTCGTTTTAGGTGTGGCCCTTTGGTGATGAAATCAGCATTAGGTTTTCTGAAAGAAAAGAAGCCAACTGTTCAAATGTATCAGTGTTTGGTGATCAGTTTTTTGGTGTATTTTTTTTTTTAATCAACCCCAGTCTTCTCTCTACTTCTTTATTTTAAAAACCCCTTTTTTTTAGGAATCTGAATTAGTAGAATATTCATTTTAATAATTTAATTAACCCAGGTACTATTATGATTTGTTTATAATATAACATAGCACATTAATGCCTTTCATGGTAACTCTTAGCCTCTCTTCTTTTTTCCCCTTGCTCACATGTAATTTTCTTATGATCCTTCTTCAAAGTCTCTCAGTCCTCAAAAATCATTAGATTCAATTTCTGTTGCTGTTTTCTCATCAGAAAGCTTCCTGTGCTGTGCGTTAGGGACAGTCTTAGCAAATCAGATGAGTAAATTACACAAAGACATTTCAAAGAAAACATAATGAAACCTTCTATCAAGCAACTACAGACTACCTTGTGGAGGGATGAATCTTACACTGGATGAATTCTTCCCTATTCCTCATTATTATTTTCCTCCTGTTCTTTTTTTGCCTGCTTATGCATCATCTGTCAGTGCACGTCCTAACAACCTGACACATTTTATGTGAAAACAATTCTCTTCTCGATTGTTTTCTTCAGTTCCTTCACCTGCATTTAAATTTCCTCCACTACATGGTACTGCTAAATGCTTCTGCCTTCCAAGTCTAAAGGTTTCATCATCCCTGGAGTGCTTGGCTTGTTTTTCAGGTTGCATTGCAGAAGGTAAACTGAATGCATGAGTCCAGGGGACAGGCTTGTTCAGTTTTCCTTCTGTATCAACTGTGATTGATGTTAACGTGAATTTTAGAGTGATGTGCATGTGGTGACTCCCGAAAATCAGTTTAGTTACAGGCCCTTACACTGGCTGTTGTCCTTCCTGAATCTCCAGCTACCTTCTCAGTTGTATAGCACTGTCCCTTCACTGCCATTGTGGTAATGAGGAATGGAATAATATCCAGAGATTTATTCTCAGCAGATTAATCACACTGCCCTCTGCTGCTTTCAGCTGAGTTGATTTATCCCAGTTCATACCATGTTTACCTGTTCCTCAAACAAACATTTTGCAGCCGTGTATTTCCCAGTACTGACTTGCAAGAATACTTTGTAAGCCCTAAACAAACAAAATGGATATCCCTTTGCTTACTTAAATAATAACGATACCCATTTGTTATAGAGGTGTGGAAGGTTTTACTCTCTTCTGGCAGCATCCCTAGAAGCCAGATCCAATGTGGCAGCAATTCAGTGGAGGATATACAAACAAAGGAAGAAGAGATAAAATCCAATTCCATTCCTTGGACTTCCTCATGGCCCTCAGCAAGAGGTAGTGTTTTCTGTCCTGAAGTGGCAGTCTCCTTTCGGTGTTGTACTCCTTACTGACAAAAATAAATTTTAATAGTCCTTCACTGCAGAAACCCCTTCAGGTTTCAGCTATTACTTTTCTGATAATTCTCTCTTCTTTAGGGTTTTTTTTGCATTATCCTGTACTCAAGCAATAAAAGGTGATTTTGCATACTCATCTCTTCCAGAGATATTTTCCATTTGGGTACTACACATTATCAGCTAAATGGGATGTAATAGTTGTTCTTTGCATTATCCTAGAGTGTAAATTCACTCTGAAACAGTTCAGCAGTTTCAGTTCTAACTTATTTATCTTCTAGAGGCAATCTCTGGTTTTGTCTGTTTTGCCTCTACGGATGGAAAGTTTCTGTGCTATTACAAGGCTGGCTTCTCTGGAGTCTCAGTTACTTTTCTTCTGCTATTTTTACTCAGGTCTTTACAGTGCTGCAATAGAAGAGTTTAAAAATCAAGGAACCAAACTTGCCTTCCCCACCCTCCAAGGGGTTGTCTTGGTCTCTGTCCTCAGGGTAGCAAACCCTTAGCAGAGGGAAACTGTCTCATAGCTGGCTGTGGGTGCCTGCAGGCATCCTTCTGTCACAGAGTCAGATCTCTTTCTGTTTGCTTGTGCAAGTGAAATGCAGAAACCCTGGGAGAGCAGGTGGGGAGGCACAGGCACGTGGCCTCCAGCTGTAGTTGCCAGTTCTAAAAGGCTGCAGGAGGCCCAGTGGGGTTTGGGCATCAGCACCTTCTGCTGCTGTGTGCTCCTGTTTTGCTGAGGAGGGAGCTGACATCTTCATCTCTGGCATTACAAGTATATGTGCAGCAGGTTTGCACTGAGGTGGGTTTCCAAGCCACTGGGGATGAGGAGAGCCAGCCAAGTTCCCAGCTTCTTGTCTGGCAGGTGGAAACTGCCAGATGACCTGGTCTGAGGCCAAAGTGAGAGCCCTGGGAGATGGCTCACAAGTGTAGGAACTGGCAAGAACAGGGCTGTTTCTAGATGCAGTGTTGGCAAGGCTTTATCACAGGCCAGC